ATTCATTGTATTTCTTTTGTTCGGAAGACGAAGGATGATGATCCTATTTACCGGTGAATGTACCGGCCAATTCTCTTGTAGGAGGGATGTGGGAGAGAGGGTAGAAGTCCTGGAGTGAGAGGTGATGTGGAGAAATGGCAGTATTGGTGAGATGTGCGGGGTAATGCGGAAAATGGAACAGAGAAGAGAACAGAGACAACGGTGACACCGGAGTTGAAGCGAATAAAGAGGGGGGGAAACCGGTACGAGGATAAGAGGATAAGAAGAGAACAGGAGAGAAGAGAAGCAAAGACAAGGGGAAAAGGAGTAGAGGAGATGAAGGACGAGCAACAAGCGACAGATCAGAAATTTAGACACAATCCCCCCCGTCACATTTGGGAATTTCCAGTAGACCTTGCACAGTGTCAGCTCTACCCAAAGTAGGGAAGGTTACTTCTAACCTTTCCAAATATGTTTCTAGTTATGAGGTTGAGCTGAGTTACAAGAAACCATGATTCTTATCACGCTCTCCTTCTGACGAAACAGTTTATCCAGCTCGAATTTTTCTGCTCCACTCGCTTATGGGTAGTTACGCGATGTCCAGGTATGTGGTGAGCTGTGACTAGGGCTTGCGCGGTGGCTTGTTACTTTCACATCCGATGCTGGTGGGCATAGGATATAAGCGTCGGTTCTATTTGATTGATACCCGTTGCCGTCGGGGTTAGAAAATCGGGCCCTAAATCAATACCATACCTTTCTTAAAGTAGGGATTGAAGTTAGATTGCTAAATGTCCCAAGCTCTCCCAAAGTGACGGCTCGCTCATACCCCCCAATGTAGGCATCTTGAGAAGGAAGGGACCTAAGGGAGACCTATCCGGAATATGGACAGAGGCAAACCAAAGAGGACAGGGGAACAAAAACAATATTGTGAAAGATGGCTAATAGGATGACGATGGTTCAAGTTGTTGGTTTTGCAAACATCTGGCCGTGCTTGCGGCTCCTGCTGGATCTCTGCGGCTGACCCCATGTTTAGCTGCTCATAATCTTGTGCCACGAGTCTGCGCCTCATATGCGGCTCTAGCAGGCTTTCGTACCACCCAGCCCATCTCCCAGAATCACAATGCTCCGACGCAATTCCGCAACTCACTATTGCGACCCCTCCCTGCCTTGAACCCGACTGAGAGTTTGGCCCACAGGCGACGGTGATCAGACTGAAAGGTGGGGGCGAATTCAACTCCGTTACGCTGATATTGTCCATAATAGAGTGCGGGGTCCTAGGACGGTGTGCCCGAACCTTGGGTGAGTCGAACACCTGCCCAACGACCTCAATCCGTCCGCCCGATGGAGACTCCGCTCGCTTTCAGATGTTCTCAAGACCTCGTCAGCGTAATTAGGATGACCCACGAGAGGAGTATACTAACACTGCCCCCAGTGCACTCCGCGATCTAGCCGAGCCCCCCGATAGGACCCTTAATCCATTGTTACCACGACAGAAGACGAACCCCGGATATTTCTACAGAGGCTACAAGGCCTCTCGCACTCCGGGGTGTGAGTTCTACACTCAATGCCGAGTAGGACAAGGTAACCGAGGGCATCCGAAATCCCCCCATCAGGAAAGTCAGTGAGAAATCAGTCCGGTGTTTTGGCCCAGATCCTCGATTCTTGAATCTACCTGGTTCGCGAAACAGCCACCGAGTTTTTGATCAACGGAGGGTTGCTCGGTCGAGGCATGACAAGCGGTATGTAGTATACCCCTTGTTCCAATAATTATTGCTCTCTAATAGCCGATGATACACCCCTCGTCTATCGCTAGAAGACATTGAATGACCCCGGAGCGATGGCACCGCCAGAAGCGCATGAAGAGAGGCGTTGTACAATTACGTGTGGAATATGCCCTCCCCGATTATGCAGCTAAGAACTGGGCACGCCATCCGCGAGAACCGCAGGCCGGACTATTCCGCTCTCTGAGCCAAAGGAGCCGAGCTTGGATGGTGGACCTGACAAATTTCCTTACATGACTCAAGGTATACTGGGGAAAGAGTGGCCGGCACGATCCATTCCCGGAAGATTTTCCATGTTAAAAATAACACCCACGCCCGGGCAGAGTGTGGTAGCGGAGCGACCATCGGAAGGAGATACAACATCGCACCGGAACGGCACCGCCCCGCCCCGAACCTAGAAGGTACCCGAAAAGGCCAGGACACACTCAAGATACTGCTGGGAGGGGATTGATGCATCCTTGGCCGTGGAGGTGCCCAATTTCTTATATGTGGATAAATTTCTGCGGACGGATTAGGGAGGTCGGGGATTAGGGGCAAGAAAGATTGACGAACAGGCGGCCACCCTAAAAAAATAGCCGCAGGACTACTTTAACTGCAGATACAATTTCCTCACGAGCGAGCGATAAATTATTCGACCAATCAAACTTGTGCAAACTCCCTAAAAGCTACTCCTCATCTCCGAGTGCTCCCAAACCACCCCATGACACTGAGTCCGGCATCCACCTTCCGATGGTCCAAGGGTTCGACCAACCACTGTCACAGCTCCGGCCACCTAATGCGTATCCCCTATCACCCAACACCCACTAACCATCACCCTTGTACCAATTCCCTATCACCGTCTCCAACACCAATCTCTCCAACGTCACCACTATTTGATATTTTCTCATCTCTCCTCTGTTTGTTTCACAACTTCACAGCCGTACTCTGTTCACAATAGTATGGCTTCTTTCCTTACGAAGTCTTCCCGAGATTTTCTATCCTCTCGAGGTTCTCATGATATCAACCTCAGCTTTCCTTCTCGTCTCCTTGTCCCTCAGTTTAGCATAAAAATCGGCAGTTACCCAGGTGGTAAAATATCAAACTTCTTCCTCTGCCCGCCTAGTCATGCAAATTTACATTCGCTCCGAGTTATTTCTAGTGACGCACCAGGGTAAAAGCAATCTAATTTATTTACCCGGCAGCGCCATCTGCCTATAACTAGCTAAATCACCTACCGTCCGTGAGAAACAGAGAGCAAACAGTGAAGAGGTTTCTTAGTATGACACGCCGGATAGCCAGTGATAAATTCACACTGCTCCAGAAAATTGAAGCAAGTCCCCGTTATTGAGGGAGGTTGAAGCCGGTTAAAAGCATGTTTTTGCATTACATAACGAAATTTGAAGCGCCAAATCATGTCTTCCTTGCAATGCCATACCTCTGATGTAAGAGGGGCTAGCGCTGTAGAGAGGAAGTGAAACACACTCTGGACCTGGTTTTCCACCGTTACTAAATCGCCAGTAACCCATAGCGCCCAGAGCGCAAGTCAGCCAGGGCGATAACAGCCGATAGCAGAATAAAGCTCACGGAGTTGCCGCAAGGCATAGGAGGTAGGTGAGCTTGCTGATAGCGTTGATGGCGTACGTCATGGTAGACCATCGACTTTGCACAGTGTGGGGGTTGTGCGATATTGTGTGGATAAGGATATTGTAGGCCCAACCTAGCCCTTCCACACACTGCAGCACGACAGAAATCGAGTCAAGAAAATATATATAGATATATATTTCTTGCCGGAAGGCTGGTTTGTATCTCGTTAGCTGAGTGACGAGTGATGATGGCAGCACCCCAAACAATAAAAGTGCCAATATGGGTGGGCTGTGAACCAGTTTGATCAATCATTAGAATACCCGTACCGGGTTCTGGTTTGAGACGCCCCGATCGTCCCAGCATATGGCAGCGGAAGAGCCGGGTGTCGTAATGAGCGGTGAAAAAGGACTTGTTTTGATGGGGAAGGGGTTCATTCCGGCCACCCAAAACTGGCATAATCTGAGAGGTTTATGGTTTCGAGTCGTCGATTAGTCAGCTCGGTTCGAGGGTCCCAATCGAACCTATCAAGTTTGGGGATATTCGAAATGCAATCTAATCGTGCCCAAATGCGTGACTTCTTGATCGGCTTGGGAAAGGTTTTACAGGAGACTACTCTCCTTCGGGGTATCCCCTTGCATAAAGTTCTGTCCATAAGCTGCCGAAGTGCCATAATCAGCTTTTTTGTCTAGCACCACCGTCCAATCTCTGCATGTCGGGAATCTAGAATACGTTGGTTGCAATGGAACTTGAACTACAAGCACTTTCTATAGAGCGAACTCCTATGGTAAAAGGAGACATTACTCTACAAAATACTATGTAACGTGAGATACTAGTTCCCGGATTTGCGCTTTGCAGCTATAATTCGCAGTAAGTTACGACGTCATTCACGGTAGGCTAACCTGGGCTACCATTCGAACACTACCGACGGCCGAGTAGATCCACTATCCGCATAATGAAGAAATAACGTCGCACACAAATTTCAACAAGCCCCGTCCCGAAGCTGATCCTATTTCATATTGTCATTCCCATGACTCATAGTGAGAAGTCATCAGGAAAAGAAGGAAAAAAACAGAAAATAAATAAAAGTTCGTTGGAGAGGTACAGTACTGTACAGTACACCAGCCCAGTTAGCCAACCTAATAAAAAGCCCGGAATCGAAAATTCCCGCATCAAAAGTGTCTAACATAACCCCTCATATCCCTACTCGTATGAGAATCCACCCCGGAGATGGCTCTTTTGGCAACCATAGAAAGCAAAATAATCGAGACAAACACATGATGATGAACCGGAAAGATGTAATTGGCTCGTTTCGAGCGAGAGGGGAAACGCAGATACGAGTGGAGAAACGACTAGGCTGATAAGCAGAAGCTGGGGGTAGTGTGCTCTTCTGTGCAAAGTTAGATTCGATAGGGCTAAACGAAGTAGGCCCTTTGTGGGATGCGTTACAAACCGGATATCTTAGGCACCTGTGTGCACGAAGGGGGCCCAGGTGAGAAAATTGGCAGGTTTTTTGTCCCGACATTTCTTCACAGCTTGGTGAAAGGCAGCCGTGACCCGGTGGTGCCCATCGCCATTTCCTTCATGTTGGAATAGAAGGTTGTAGAAGTCTCTCGCCACTTGACTAGAGGCTTCGTCATTTGTTTCCCACAAGTTTGCGAGGGTATGGCTAAATCCGGCGAGCTGAAATGCGCTGGCCAGGTGTATAACTTCGTCGGCTAAAATAACAGAGGAGTTCTTGGCTGAGGAGCAGGCTGAAAGGTATGCAAGCTGTGCATTTTGTGCAACTATATTCGATATATCACGAGCCAGCAGTTTATCGGCACCCTTCCCATCTGGGGTGAGCAGAAGCAGGTGGCTGTCTGAAGGGTTAGTGTCGGACACCCCGTGGCAGGCGAAATGGACAATGTCGTGGTGCTGAATTTGCCTCAGGACCTTAGCCGGGGTTGGATTGCTTAGCACAGTGGTCTCGACGGGAGTTTTAGAGGTGGAATCATGTATATATTGAACCTCTCGATCAACACCGGGTAGACTTGCCTCGCCGGGTGTCTTCGGCATGGGAATTAGAAGCAAACGAGGGTTCTGTCTTCCGAGAGGTTTTTCTTTCCTGGAGGGTTCCGCTGAGAAAGAGGGACCAGACTCGTCGAGCAGCCGGAGCTCCACTTGACGCGCATAGGTGAGGGCTTTTATTGTTGGGATGTATGATGAAATGGCTCGACTTATAGTGTTACGGGTTGAACCTCGGGAGTGGTCCCCAGCGGCGTGGAAAGGTGCCATACTTAATTGCCCAACTCCAACCCACCAAATGTGCTTCGGATCGCCGCCTTGGACACCACCACTGATAATTGCTCCGCTACATTCAAGGTGGTCCAAAACGGGCCCTACCGCCGCATCCCATAACCAAAGAAGGAGGTCCCGCATTTTTTTGTTATCCTGGGCTCTCTTTAATAGCCCTCCCGGGCCTTTCCCAAAATTGGCTAATTTCTCCATCCACTCGATTGCTTTCTCATAGTTAAGCTTCGGAAGCTCTAATGACGTTATAGCCGAGGTAGTGACAATTGTGGCATCGCTTCTGTAGGATGTGCTGTTGAAGATAATGATGGGACCATTTCTTGCTATTTCCATTAGAGCGTCTTGAGGGGGGGGGGAGCAGGAATCCGTCATATCCAGGTAACTGGCGGATGCGTGCTAGAGTTTCTTCCATTTCCCTAACAGCCTCCCAACGTCTTGATGTAGCACGCTTTCGGTATTGTTCGGGTGTTTCGTCACCTAAGTAGCTCGTTCCATTCATCGGGGAGTCAACCTCTACCCGAAGGCGGTCAAATTGGTTGAATTCCAGGGGATGATCGGCCTTAAGATCTGAGACTTCTGACCTTGAGTCGATTGCAAAGCCGATAATTATTCCACGACCGAGCTCCAGTAACTTTAGGCTGTGATAGGCTTTTCTCCCAGCCTGAAGAGCCATTGAAGCAGCAGCTGACGCTAGCCCGGAAAGCTCCGACAGTATGTGTTGTTGGTCATCCCGTTGTAGCAACCGTAGATTGACGCTTGGCATCAGGCTAACTGCATCCTCGAGTATGGAACTTGATTCGTAGTACTTTCCACCCGAATATAGTAAATAAGCTGCTCTCCGAGCCGCCTGAATCCGGGTCCTGGGCGGTGAGGTGCGGCAATGGAAGCCCTCGAGGTATAGGCTAAGGCATTCGCTGTGGCCATCGCTAGTGGGTAGCCGCGAGAGTCTTGTTTCCAATAATGCACCAAGGACAGTACAAATACCCGCTCGATCTGGGTGATCCTTAGGGCAAGCCTCTAATGCCTTTTCTTTATGGATTATAGCTTTCTCGAGGTCACCGAGGTCTCCCATCTGCTCAAACCTAGCCGAGAAGTTTCCCCCCAGGCTGCTGTGCGCGGTCACTCGAAGGGGGTGATTTTCAGGAGTAGCAGCTAGCGCCTCTTCGCCGAGTTTAATGGCTTTTTGAATGTCATCAACATTCCCTATGCATTTGAACCTCCCGGACAACCAGATTCCCAGGTTGTTGCACATTGTCGCTCGATCAGCGTGATCTCTAGGGCTAGCTTCGAGAGCCTTTTCTCCGTGCATAATGGCGATTTCGAGGTCCTTTAGCTCTCCAATTCTCCCAAATCTACTAGCGAATTCAGCCGCCAGGTTGGTGTGCCTAGCCGCTCGGTGGGGGTGATCTTGAGGTGTTGCATCTAGCGATTCTTGGCTATGTTTAATGGCTTTTTGAAGGTCGTCAAGATCTCCTACCCGCTCAAACCTCTGAGACAAACCCATCGCCAGGTTACCATGGATGTCCACTCGGGTGTGGTGATATTGGGGAGTAGCAGCAAGTGCCTCTTCGCCGTGCTTAATGGAATTCTGGAGGTCATCAAGGTCTCCTGTCCGCTCAAACCTCTCTTTGAACGCCCTCGTTAGGCTATTATGAACTTCTGCCCGGTGGGGATGATCTTGAGCGGAGACAGCTAGAGCCTCCTCGCTATTTTCGATAGCTCTAGAGAGGTCACCAATATCTCCTATCCGCCTAAATCTCGTAAAGAGCATGACCCCTAAGGTGCTGTGTCTACGTGCACGGTCGGGGTCATCATGAGGGGTCGCAGCTAATGCCTCTTCGCCGTGCTCAACAGCTTTTTGGAGGTCACCAGTATCTCCCATCCGCTCGAACCTCGAAGCCAACCTAAGTGCCAAGTTATTGTGTACGGCCCCTCGCTTGGGATGGTCCTGGGGGGTGCTAGCTAACGCCTCCTCGCTGTGCTTAACCGATTTTGTTAGATCACCAAGTTCTCCTAGCCGCTCAAACCTTGCGGAGAACCCTTTTCCCAGCTTATCGTGTATGCCCATCCTATTCGGGTGATCCTGAGGAGTAGCAGCTAGTGCATCTTGGCTGTGAGTGATGGCTTTTTGGACGTCCCCAAGATCATCTGTACACCCAAACATCTTAATGTGCATGCCGCCCAGGCTAGAGTGGATGATCGCTCGATGGGGGTGACCTTGGCGGGTCGCAGCAAGAGCCTCTTCTACGTGCTTAATAGCTTCTTGTAGGTCACGGAGGTCTCCCATACGATCAAACCTCGCCGCGAGAGCAGCTCCCTGGTTAATGTACACGGAGGTTCGCTGGGGGTGAGCTCGCGCAATACTAGCCAGTGCCTCTTCGCCGTGGTTAATGGCTTTTTGAAGATCACCAAGGTCTCCCATCCGCTTAAATCTCGTTAACAACCCGGTTCCCAGTTGGCTTTGCATAATCGCTCGGCCGGGGTCATCTTGGGAGGCAGCAGCCAGTGCATTCTCGCAGTGTTTAATGGAATTTTGGAGGTCTCTGAGGTCTCCTCCCCGGTCAAACCTTATCGAGAATTTTGCTCCTAGGTTACTTTGAAGGGCCGCTCGCTTGGGGTGATCTTGAGGGGTAACAGCTAGTGCCCCTTCGCTGTACTTAATCCCTTTTGTCAGATCATCCAGATCTCCCATCCGCTCAAACCTCGCAGTGAAACAGACTCCCAGTTGATCCTGCATAGTCACTCGGTAGGAGTGATCCAGCGGGGTAGCAGCTAACGCCTCTTCGCTGTGCTTAATGGCACTTTCGAGGTCGCCAAGGTCTCCTCTCTGCTCCCAGCGTTCCAAGCATCTGGCTCCAAACATCCCATGTGCGATAAAATGATCCATCTCGTCTGAGCAAGCCCTTTTCACTGTCTCCTCCATTGTGTCTACAGCGAATTCCAAATTATTTATATCACCCGATCGCTTGGATCTTGTAAACGAAGCATATAAAGTCAGCGCATAGCCCAATCATCAGTTATTTGACTTTTATCTTACCCACCCCGGTGGCCAGATTTTCCTCAGTTCAGTAAAACCAAGCCTTGTAGCCCGTCTGTGTCTTCAGCTCTTCTGTTTCCCTGTTTCTCTCGAGTGCAAGTATTGGGTTGATAGAAAGATAAAAATCTTGTTATAGGGAACCCGACGTGAGTTGGTGAGGGTTGCGGTGGGACAAGTTTCAATAAATCTAATCGTGAAGGTTCTGGGTTATGTGGTGCACTGCTCTCGACTGGCTTGTGGTTTCGGAATTCAGAGCTTCAGACTGGAGGTGTTCTCGAGTATCGGTAGTTCGAATGTATAAGCGGTGTTTGACCCTTCAAGCCTGCCACAGCATATGTGTGCCAGGACGCATACAAGTAGCTGAGGTCTACCACTTGCACTTCAATGCCTCTTATCCTATGCACCCCTAACAAAGCCTCGCTGATTGTTTTGGCCATAACCCCGTGTTTTGTTTCGTTTTGTTTTTCAAAAGATAATTCGCCGTTAAATCGCTCATGGTGTCTGGAATGCGCTGAGCAGATCCGATCGTGGAAAAAATTGAGATCAGGAGGACACCTATGGGCCAGTGCTGCATAGTATCCTCCCCCATACCAGTGAAATAGCCTGCCGCTGAATATTACCGATAGCTGCTCTTCCTCTGCAGGCCACCCGCATAGCCTAGCCACTTATTTAACCAGGCAGCAACGGCTAAGGGTACGAGCGGCCGCAAAGAATAAGAAATCGGGTACTGTACCCTATGTCTTAGTCTTTCCCCTATCCAGGCTTTTATACGGTAGTTTGGCTAATACAACAAATGTTGTCTGCGTGTCTGGGGGAAAGAGTTTTGGCAACGCGGACGACCCCAGGAGGCCGCCGGCGCAAAAATAGCTTTGGGAGGGGACAGTATCTGCGAGGCTGGACCGAAGCCCCGCACCCTCATTAAATAGCGATCGGCGAGCCAACAAACATCCAGTGTAAAGGATGCCAAACGGAGCTATACAACCGGACAAACCCCAGAACAAAGGAGAAAGCCTCCTCTGAGGACCGGTAACCCATCAACCAGCCAACCCGCTTCCGTCCACGCTGTCAGAGAGGTATCATAGGTGGACTTATGGGGCACTGTGCCGACACCCGCCACTAGGCCATCACCCTAGCCGCTACGGTCCGTCCACCACTCCAAGCGGAACGTCCACCCCCGGCATATGCACCCAAGAGCCAGGAGGAAATGGAGGAGATCTGGAGAGAAGAACGCATACATGGTCCAGTGTCGAGATAGCGGTTCTCTTCTTTTCTTTCTGTAGACAGTTTACTCCAGTTTACCTCAGCTTTCGGTCTGGCTGAAAAATGGAATACTATGTTTGAGAGAAGCTTTCCTATCCTCCTTCACACAACTATTCGATACTCGCAAGAAGAGCACGCCGGTTAGGTGATATACTGCCGCTATTACTTACAGCGATTTGATTCATCCAGGTCACGGGGGTCATCAGGGATAATCACATCTGCCATAACCCCACAAACGCACGCCAAAATGCAGGAGGGTCAAAAACGTCCGTCTTGGGGTACCACCTTTTTTCCAGCTCTTTATCTTTAGCACATTTGACCACACGGCAACCGGAGGTAAAGTGCGCAGCTCTTGCAGCTGCTAGGTAACCTTAGCATATAAGATCCATCACCGAAAATCCCAAAGCCAAATGCACATGTTGTAGGGATAATCACTCTTGGCGCCGGTTGTAACGCTTTAGTATTACAAGTATTTCCCAATGTTCCTTTTTCTTTTCGCTTCATGCACAGCGCCACCTTGGAGTTTCGGTAGAGCTGCGGAGCTCCATTACCATCTCGTGGTATCGCGGCGGCCGGCCTGCTCGCATCCGAAAAAAATACCTAAAGTATTATACCCGGAGAATAGGGTGTACTTGTATTTTCATCGTGTATTCGGAGCCAGGATTTAGTAGTAAGTACCTAGTCCTAATATATCATTCCAATATGGGTATGATAATAGTTAGTTTGGTCACGATTCGATACGAAGTTACTTGACCGCTCGCTCAAGTAGCCTGACTAAAGTCACCCCTGCCTTTTTTCCTAGTGACCCACAAACAAAAAAAAGGACGATCATAATCCGACAAGGGATTACCGTAAAATCCCCTAAAATTCCACTCTCCGGCCCCCCATCATCCCACTATAGGTTTAGTCCAGCAGGCTGACAAATTGGGAATAGCGGTTAGCAAGATCCAACACACACCTAGCCGTCCTATCTTTACTGTATCGGGAAAACGCTAATCCTTTCTCACGGGGGGCGGGCAGACGGAGATAGTGGATCTCACGAGATCTTACGATATTACCAGGTCATGATGTTGTGATCCTATTTTAGTACAAATTCTACTAGCTTCGAAAGACACTCTCCAGCTACCGGATTCCGAATACACGATGAGAACATAGGTTGTCTTTCTACTAGTTTAGTAGTAGCACTTAGCTCGTCCCAAAATTAGCCTTGTTTAATACCCTCTCAACGTAGGGATTGGTGAGAAATTAGTGAGGAGGAAACAATAGGTTGTAGCAGGTGGCAGTAGGGTGTTAACAGAGCAGATGGAACTGTGTCATTCGCGACGTTCTCCTATAAAGTCAGACATAACTTCAAATACTTGTATAGGAAGCGGGTGTTGTGTGGTTTCATCCTCGTGAGTCTCTTGAGGCTCCGATTTTGGAGCACGGGCGGTATCGCGATAATCCCCCTCTAGTGTTGTATCATTCCGCAGGAAATTATTTTTCAAGCGCCCGGAAATAGAAGAGATGGAGCCCGGGCAATCAACGATGAGATACCCGTATGCCAAACCTACCGGCAACAAATATGTCCCCACGGCCTCATGGGCACCCCAGCCCCCCCTCCCCCAACATACACAACCTTGGCCCCTAGGCGCACTCCCGCCTGCTGCCGACGCTCGCTTTTGTCTGGGGAATATTCTCGGTGAGCCTCTTGTCCGAGTTCCCCAGCGTGGTCGAGTTCAGTGTTCCCAAGCGTCCAGTCCGTCCGTCTTTCGCCTAGGACGGGACGGACGCCGAATTTGAGGCCTTTGCCCGGGACGGACGCCAAATTGGATTCCGTCCTAACCCATGCCCGGGACAGACGGCCGGGCCCTACAGGTGTCTCATTTGACCCGCTATTTTTAAATATCATTGGTGTGAAGCCGGTGCTTGAGGTCACGAGAGACTTTAATTCAAATGCAAATAACATGATACTTTGACACCAGGTATCAAACGAGGTGATCAATCAACCAAGCTGTGTACTCATATCCGATCCCAGTTCTGAGCAACCTGAACCTGTCCCAGTTTCCTGACCTAATCTTGTTGCCCTCTCCTCCAAATCTCTAAGCATCTTCTCTACATCTGCCAGTGGCTTCTCCGCAATCAATCCTGCCTTCCACCATGATTTCATACACTCAATAGCCTACGGGCAATCGGTAGGGCCCTACAGGTGACGCCCGTCCTTACCAATGACGCCAGGGCCCTGCAGGTGACGCCTGTCCTTACCAAGGACGCCAGGGCCCTAGCGGAAGCTTCCGTTTTCAGTAAGACTGCAGGGCCCGGCCGTCAACTTGCAGGGCTGGAGTCGGTATCGAAGACGGACGCCATGCCCGGCCGTCCTCCCCCACCCTGCCCGGGACGCCCGGGACTATTGCCCGCCAGGGCCCTGCCGTCTGCCCGGGACGGTTGGGAATACTGGTCGAGTTTATAGCCACTTTTACGTCTCGATTGGAGGGGGTATTGGCGGGGTTCTTGTAGCTGCGAGAGAGGTTGGGTTGCGGCATCGGTTCCGTGGATAAACTATTGGCATAATAGGACTCTATCGTACTTGGTTTGCCCAGGGCCCTGTGGTAGGCTGTTTGGCTAGATAACAATGGATAGGGAGGTGTTATGGCACTCAAACACAGTTGTTGAGGTCATTCAGGGAGGTGTAATCACTTCTCAATGTCAGTTAACCTAACTCACGATCACACCCCACAACTTTACTCCAATACCCGCTGGACCAAGAAGAAATTACCCTGGGAGTGATCCCGTGCAAGGTGAAGACAACTGGAAAAAACGAGAACAAAACCCCACTGGTCCAGCCAAGTCAGCTGAGCGCCATACTACAAACCTAAACAACCCCAAACCACCCGCCCACTATCCCCTGGGTCCGCAGGACAGCGGAGATCTCTTGCCACTGTTGTTTATTTCCAAGAAATGGATGGCTGAGGAGAGCTTAGCCCTGCTTCAGCATTCCGTAGCGATTATCGGTGGAAGTGGGTTAGATATCCAGCACTAGTTCCGTCTGTAGTCTGTGTCTGCTCGTGTGCGGAATTCCGGTTATTAGCAAAAGCCGGCTTATTAGCTTCTATTCCGGGCACCGACGGGGGCAGCACGAGGTCTTCGGCATCCCGCGACTCCAAGAGATAACGATAACTACTTACACAGCACCATGTTAGCAAGCCTGTGGGAATAACTCCTCAGAAAAACCATCACACCCCCCCCCCCCAACAGCGAGCGCTAACTCCACCTCCTACACGGCACCGAATTAGGGCAAGTAGGCCATACTAGACTTAGCTCAACATCCTACGGATTCAGTGCGCCAGGATCTTACCCAACAAATATCAGCCCTATGCCCGAGCGGTAGTGAAAAGTCGGACGCACTCCCCAGATGGGATAGCCTACTAGTATCTCGCTGCAGCCAGAAGTCACCGGGGCGGGGCTAGTAATGCGGACGACCCTGTGCAAGAAAGGCATGGGAGGGGAATAAGTCAAGCGCCGTCGCTGATCCTCTCGCGTTAGTGTACAGTACCGTCGCTTGCCTGCAAGCTAGCCCAAAGGCCGACACAGGGTTAGCTTGCTTTTATCCTTGCCATCGTTGATGAACCGTCTGTGATAAAGAAAGAGGTAAATAGCTGTTGCCATGCCAACGAGAGGGGGTGCGACGAAGGTGGACTAGCAACGGCAGAGCCTCAAGAGACGCTCTAGGGAAGATTAGCCGAGGACTTGGTTACCCGGATAAATAGCGCCTGCCTTACTTGTACTGTACCGTAGACCTGCGTTTCTCCGGGACTGTAACTTAAGGACGGAGATTTACACAACCCTCCGTGAGACCCCTCCCAGGTTCAGCGGTTACTCACCACTTCCATACTCGAGTGCCGGTACCGGTATTTCTCATAGGTTTCTGGTGTTTGAAAACAGGACTACCGGCACTATTACATACCCCTACACAAAAATCTCGGGCCCGGACGGTTTTTTGCCATGAAGGTTACCTAAACGCCGAAGTGACGCAAGATGGCAAACCATCGTATGAAACTGCCAAAAAAATCGGGTGGGGCTCGGTTAATTAAGCTTAATACTAACGCCGGGTTGAGGTCGCCTATGATACTCGAGACTATGATAAATTTAGTAACGATCACCTCCACCATCAGATATGATACGAACTAAGCGCCGGACAATCACGGATAACTGCACTCAGTGCACTATACCCATTCAACTACATATCACACGCGCGTAGGGTTTTCATGCCCGCCTGCTTTGCCACGGTGCTGGATCATCTGGCCACCGGTGCATACCATGTGATTTTGTCAAATCGGCTCTCCGCGTGCAGGGCTCAGATCTCCCAGCCGGGATAGGCAGTCTCTAATAATGCCTAGCTTAGCGCGGGAGAGAAAAGGGATAGGAAGATCATGCTAATCACTCTTTGACCGCTCAACTGGTGCCCACGGGATCTCCCCTGCCTCTTTTCTTCAGGAATAGACGTTTTTGGTATCCCGCTTTTTTATCTTGGAGTGGAGTCTAGCCCGGAACCCTACACCGGGATACTCAATTTCACGAGATAATGGGGGAGCCCAAGCAGAGCACTAAAGGGTGAAGCAGTGAGGGTGCAACCACAATAGGCTCTGAGGACAACGGGGCATGGAAGGATGGCGAACTAGAGGATAGATGAAGATGCTAGCTAAGTATACCGGTAGACCAGGAGAGATATATCTCCGGATAGCTAACAACTCCGTAAACCAAATGGAACATAACGATCTTTGAGGAAGCACGTTCCCTGGAAAACACAATCATCACCCACGATCTTCAATGACTCTAAACTATCCCAAGCAACCCAAGCCACTAAAGCAAGTGTCCTATGCCTCCCACCTCCGGGCGTGAAAGCTGAACCACACAGAACCACATACTCAATGCTGACTGCCGCAGAATATCTAACATTAGGCCGTGTTCCTACCAGGGTCTTATCGCAATAGTGCGCATTAGCTCTGCCTCGTAGAATCATAGCGAAAAAATCCCCAGCGCTAACGTCATCGTAGACCGTCGACTTTGCACAGTGTGGGGGTTGTGCGATATTGTGTGGATAAGAATATTGTAGGCCCAACCTAGCTCTTCCATACACTGCAGCACGACAGAAATCGAGTCAAGAAAATATATATATATATATATATATATTTCTTGTGATACAAGGTTGGTTTATATCTCGTTAGCCGAGTGACAAGTGATGATGGCAGCACCTCAAACGATAAAAGTGCCACTATGGGTGGGCTGTGAACCAGTTTGATCAATCATTAGAATTCCAATATCGGGTTCTGTTTTGAGACGCCCGATAGTCCCAGCCTATGGCAGCGGAAGAGCCGGGTTTTGTAATGAGCGGTGAAAAAGGACTTGTTTTGATGGGGAAGGAGTTCATTCCGGCCACCCAAGGCTTGCATAATTTGAGAGGTTTAGGGTGTCGAGTCGCCGATTAGTCAGCTCGGTTCGAGGGTCCCAATCGAACCTATCAAGTTTGGGGATATCCCAAATGCAATCTAATCGAGCTCGAATGCGTGACTTCTTGATTGACTTGGGAAGGATTTTGCAGGAGACTACTCTCCTTCGGGGTATCCCCTTGCATCAAGTCCTGTCCATAAGCTGCCGAAGTCTCATAATCAACCCTTTTGTCTAGCACCACCGTCCAATCTCTACAGGTCGCGAATCTAGAATACGCTGGCTGCAATGGAACTTGAACTACTAGCACTTTCTACAGAGCGAACTCCTATCGCAAAAGGAGACATTACTCTACAAAATACTATGTAACGTGAGATACTAGTTCCCGGCTTTGCGCTTTGCAGCTATAATTCGCTGTAAGTTACGGCGTCATTCACGGTAGGCTAATCTGGGCTACCATTCGAACACTGCCGACGGCCGAGTAGATCCACTATCCGCATAATGAAGAAATAACGTCGCACACAAATTTCAACAAGCCCCGTCCCGAAGCTGATCCTATTTCATATTGTCATTCCCATGACATGTAGTGAGAAGTCATCAGGAAAAGAAGACAAAAAACAGAAAATAAATAAAAGTTCGTCGGAGAGGTACAGTACTGTACACCAGCCCAGTTAGCCAACCTAATAAAAAGCCCGGAATCGAAAATTCCCGCATCAAAAGTGTCTAACTTAACCCCTCATATCCCTACTCGTATGAGAATCCACCCCGGAGATGGCCCTTTTGGCAACGATAGAAAGCAAAATAATCGAGGCAAACACATGATGATGAACCGGAAAGATGTAATTGGCTCGTTTCGAGCGAGAGGGGAAACGCAGATACGAGTGGAGAAACGACTAGGCTGATAAGCAGAAGCTGGGGGTAGTGTGCTCTTCTGTGCAAAGTTAGATTCGATAGGGCTAAACGAAGTAGGCCCTTTCTGGGATGTGTTACAAACGGATATCTTAGGCACCTGTGTGCACGAAGGGGGCCCAGGTGAGAAAATTGGCAGGTTTTTTGTCCCGACATTTCTTCACAGCTTGGTGAAAGGCAGCCGTGACCCGGTGGTGCCCATCGCCATTTCCTTCACGTCGGAATAGAAGGTTGTAGAAGTCTCTTGCCACTTGACTAGAGGCTTCGTCATTTGTTTCCCACAAGTTTGCGAGGGTATGGCTAAATCCGGCGAGTTGAAATGCGCTGGCCAGATGGATAACTTCGTCGGCTAAAATAACCGAGGAGTTCTTGGCGGAGGAGCAGGCTGAAAGGTATGCAAGCTGTGCATTTTGTGCAACTATATTCGATATATCACGAGCCAGCAGTTTATCGGCACCCTTCCCATCCGAGGTGAGCAGAAGCAGGTGGCTGTCTGAAGGGTTAGTGTCGGACACTCCGTGGCAGGCGAAATGGACAATGTCGTGGTGCTGAATTTGCCTGAGGACTTTAGCCGGGGTTGGATTGCTTAGCACAGTGGTCTCGCCGGGAGTTTTAGAGGTGGAATCATGTATATATTGAACCTCTCTATCAACACCGGGTAGACTTGCCTCGCCGGGTGTCTTCGGCATGGGAATTAGAAGCAAACGAGGGTTCTGTCTTCCGAGAGGTTTCTCTTTCCTGGAGGGTTCCGCTGAGAAAGAGGGACCAGACTCGTCGAGCAGCCGGAGCTCCACTTGACGCGCATAGGTGAGGGCTTTTATTGTTGGGATGTATGATGAAATGGCTCGACTTATAGTGTTACGGGTTGAACCTCGGGAGTGGTCCCCAGCGGCGTGGAAAGGCGCCATACTTAATTGCCCAACTCCAACCCACCAAATGTGCTTCGGATCGCCGCCTTGGACATCACCACTGATAATTGCTCCGTTGCATTCAAGGTGGTCCAAAACGGGCCCTACCGCTGTATCCCATAACCAAAGAAGGAGGTCCCGCATTTTTTTGTTATCCTGGGCTCTCTTTAATAGCCCTCCCGGGCCTTTCCCAAAATTGGCTAATTTCTCCATCCACTCGATTGCTTTCTCATAGTTAAGCTTCGGAAGCTCTAATGACGTTATAGCCGAGGTAGTGACAATTGTGGCATCGCTCCTGTAGGATGTGCTGTTGAAGATAATGATGGGACCATTTCTTGCCATTTCCATTAGAGCGTCTTGAGGGGGGGGGAGCAGGAATCCGTCATATCCAGGTAACTGGCGGATGCGAGCTAGAGTTTCTTCCATTTCCTTAACAGCCTCCCAACGTCTTGATGTAGCACGCTTTCGGTATTGTTCGGGTGTTTCGTCACCCGTGTAGCTCGTTTCATTCATCGGGGAGTCAACCTCTACTCGAAGGCGGTCAAATTGGTTGAATTCCAGGGGATGGTCGGCCTTAAGATCTGAGACTTCTGACCTTGAGTCGATTGCAAAGCCGATAATTATTCCACGACCGAGCTCCAGTAACTTTAGGCTGTGATAGGCTTTTCTCCCAGCCTGAAGAGCCATTGAAGCAGCAGCTGACGCTAGCCCGGAAAGCTCCGACAGTATGTGTTGTTGGTCATCCCGTTGTAGCAACCGTAAATTGACGCTTGGCATCAGGCTAACTGCATCCTCGAGTATGGAACTTGATTCGTGAAACTTTCCACCCGAATATAGTAAATAAGCAGCTCTCCGAGCCGCCTGAATCCGGGTCCTGGGCGGTGAGGTGCGGCAATGGAAGCCCTCGAGGTATAGGCTAAGGCATTCGCTGTGGCCATCGCTAGTGGGTAGCCGCGAGAGTCTTGTTTCCAATAATGCACCAAGGGCAGTACAAATAGTCGCTCGATCTGGGTGATCCTTAGGGCAAGCCTCTAATGCCTTTTTTTTATGGATGATAGCTTTCTCGAGGTCACCGAGCTCTCCCGTCTGCTCAAACCTAGCCGAGAAGTTTTCCCCCAGGCCTCTGTGCATGGCCACTCGAAGGGGGTGATGTTCAGGGGTAGCAGCCAGCGCTTCTTTACCGAGTTTAATGGCTTTTTGAATGTCATCAACATTCCCTCTGCATTTAAACCTCCCGGACAACCAGATTCCCAGGTTGTTGCAAAATGCCCCTCGTTCGGGGTGATCTCTCAGGCTAGCTTCGAGAGCCTTTTCTCCGTGCATAATGGCGATTTCGAGGTCATTTAGTTCCCCTATCCTCTCGAATCTACTAGCGAAGTTAGCCCCCAGGTTGGTGTGCCTAGCCGCTCGGTCGGGGTGATCTTGAGGTGTTGAATCTAGCGATTCTTGGCTATGTTTAATGGCTTTTTGAAGGTCGTCAAGATCTCCTACCCGCTCAAACCTCTCAGACAAACCCATCGCCAGGTTACCATGCATGTCCACTCGGGAGGGGTGATATTGGGGAGTGGCAGCTAGTGCCTCTTCACCGTGCTTAATGGAATTCTGGAGGTCATTAAGGTCTCCTGTCCGCTTAAACCTCTCTTTGAGCGCCTTCGTTAGACTATTATGCACTTCTGCCCGGTGGGGATGATCTTGAGCGGAGACAGCTAGAGCCTCCTCGCTATTTTCGATAGCTCTAGAGAGGTCACCAATATCTCCTATCCGCCTAAATCTCGTAAAGAGAATGACCCCTAAGGTGCTGTGTCTGCGTGCGCGGTCGGGGTCATCATGAGGGGTCGCAGCTAATGCCTCTTCGCCGTGCTCAACAGCTTTTTGGAGGTCACCGGTATCTCCCATCCGCTCGAACCTCGAAGCCAACCTAAGTGCCAAGTTATTGTGTACGGCCCCTCGCTTGGGATGGTCCTGGGGGGTACCAGCTAGTGCCTCCTCGCTGTGCTTAACCGCTTTTGTTAGATCACCAAGTTCTCCTATCCGTTCAAACCTTGCGGAGAACCCTTTTCCCAGCTTATCGTGTATGCCCACCCTATTAGGGTGATCCTGAGGAGTAGCAGCTAGTGCGTCTTGGCTGTGAGTGATGGCTTTTTGGACGTCCCCAAGATCATCTGTACGCTCAAACATCTTAATGTGCATGCCGCCCAAGCTAGAGTGGATGATCGCTCGATGGGGGTGACCTTGGCGGGTCGCAGCGAGAGCCTCTTCAACGTGCTTAATGGCTTCCTGTAGGTCACGGAGGTCTCCCATCCGATCAAACCTCGCCGCGAGAGTGGCTCCCTGGTTAACGTGCACAGAGGCTCGCTGGGGGTGCGCTCGCGCAATACTAGCCAGTGCCTCTTCGCCGTGGTTAATGGCTTTTTGAAGATCACCAAGGTCTCCCATCCGCTTAAATCTCGTTAACAACCTGCTTCCCAGTTGGCTTTGCAGAATCGGATCTTGCGGGGCAGCAGCCAGTGCATTCTCGCAGTGTTTAATGGAATTTTGGAGGTCTCTGAAGTCTCCTCCCCGGTCAAACCTAATCGAGAATTTTACTCCTAGGTTATTTTGAAGGGCCGCTCGGTTGGGGTGATCTTGGGGGGTAACAGCTAGTGCCCCTTCGCTGTACTTAATCGCTTTTGTCAGATCATCCAGATTTCCCATCCGCTGAAACCTCGCAGTGAAACAGATTCCCAGTTGATCCTGGATATTCACACGGTAGGAGTGATCCAGCGGGGTAGCAGCTAACGCCTCTTCGCTGTGCTTAATGGCACTTTCGAGGTCGCCAAGGTCTCCTCTCTGCTCCCAGCGTTCCAAGCATCTGGCTCCAAACATCCCATGTGCGATAAAATAATCCATCTCGTCTGGGCAAGCCCTTTTCACTTTCTCCTCCCTTGTGTCTACCGCGAATTCCAAATTGTTTATATCACCCGATCGCTTGGATCTTGTAAACGAAGCATATAAAGTCAGCGCATAGCCCAATCATCAGTTATTTGACTTACATCTTACCCACCCCGGTGGCCAGATTTTCCTCAGTTCTGTAAAAACCAAGTCTTGTAGCTCGTCTATGTCTTCTTCAACTCCTCTCTTTCCCCGTTCCTCTTGAGCGCAAGTATTGGGATGATGGAAAGATAACAATCTTGTTATAGGGAACCCGACGTGAGTTGGTGAGGGTTGCAGTGGGAGAAGTTCCAATAAATCTAATCGTGAAGGTGCTGGGTTATGTGGTGCACGGCTCTCGTCTAGCTTGTCGTTTCGGAATTCAGAGCTTCAGACTGGAGGTGTTCTCGAGTATCGGTGGTCCGAATGTACAAGCGGTGTTTGACCCTCCAAGCCTGCCACAGCATATGCGTGCCAAGACGCATACAAATAGCTGAGGTCTACCACTTACACTTCGATGCCTCTTATCCCATACACCCCCAACGAAGCCTCGCTCATTGTTTCGGCCATAATCCCGTGTTTTGTTTTGTTTTGTTTTCCAAAAGATAATTCGCCGTTAAATCGCTCATGGTGTCTGGAATGCGCTGAGCAGATCTGATTGAGGAAAAAATTAAGATCGGAGGACACCTATGAGCCAGTGCTGCATAGTGTCGTCCCCCAAACGAGTGAAATGGCTTGCCACTGAATATTACCGATAGCTGCATATCCTAGCCTCTGTAATTAACTAGGCAACAACGGCTGAGGGTACGAGCGGCTCGAAAAGATAAGAAATCGGGTACTGTACCCTATGCCTTCGTTTTTCCCCATCAAGGTTTTTATACGGTAGTTTGGCTAATACAACAAATGTTGTCTGCGTGTCTGGGGGAAAGAGTTTTGGCAATACGGACGACCCCAGGAGGCCGCCGGCGCAAAAATAGCTTTGGGAGGGGACCGTATCTGCGAGGCTGGACCGAAGCCCAGCACCCTCATTAAATAGCGATCGGCGAGCAAGCGAACATCCAGTGTACGGAGGTAAGGGATGCCAAACGGAGCGATGCAACCGGACAAACCCCTGAACAAAGGAGAAAGCCTCCTCTGAGGACCATTAACCAATCAACCAGCCAACCCAAATCTGTCCACGCTGCCAGAGAAATAATAGGTGGACTTATGGGGCACTGTGCCCACACCCGCCACTAGGGAGGTTTTGCACGTAATAAGATAACGACAACGACCAGGCATTAGCGTCGAGGCTAGGGCCGGTAGTTCTCTATCCCCGAATGACAGAAGGAGGTTTTGCTAATCTAAGAATATCGGGGGGTAAAACACGGAGAGCTGCTTAGCGAGACGGGGGATCTCCGCATCTGACACATACCGTTTCCCACTTGAGAAACCAGCACCTGTGTGCCCGGTGCAAACTGGCCTTCACTCTTTCCAAGTTGAGAACTTGATTGTGCCGATGCAGACATCCTAGGGAATAACTGTTCAAGAGTTCAATCTTTGATAGAGGAATTGCAGTGAGAGCAGTGAGTAATTGAATCTGGCCTTAGCCGCAGTCAGTCATGAGAAAACTCTTTCTTAGGTACTACAATTACTTGAGCTGTGCTGAGATACACGCAGCAGTTGCTAGTGTTATTTTTATTTTGGACCCACCGTTGTTCGGGATAAGTTAACTTGGGTATGATACCAATCCCGGATAACAGAATTTTTATCAACACATCAACATGTGTCGGGTTGTCACAGCGACAACGGAAAATGGGGGTCTTGGGACTCGAATTCTCTTAGCAAAACCTCTCTACTAGGCCATCACCCCTAGCCGTTACGGCCCATCCACCACTCCAAGCGGAACGTCCGCCTCCGGCATATGCACCCAAGAGCCAGGAGGAAATGGAGGAGATCGAGAGAGAAGAACACATACATAGTCTAGTGTCGAGATAGCAGTTTTCTCCTTTGCTTTCTTTAGACAGTCTACTCTAGTTTACCTCAGCTTTCGGTCTGGCCGAAAAATGGAACATTGTGTTCGAGAGAAGCTTTTCCTATTCCTCTTCACACAACCGTTCGATACTGGCAAGAAGAGCACGCCGGTTAGGTGATATACTGCCGCTATTACTGACAGCGATTTGATTCACCCAGGTCACGGGGGTCATCGGGAATAATCACATCTACCATAACCCTACAAAAGCACGCCAAAAAGCAGGAGGGTCAAAAACGTCCGTCTTGGGGTATGATAGCACCTTTCTTCCAGCTCTTTATCTTTAGCACATTTGACCACACGGCAACCGGAGGTAAAGTGCGCAGCTCCCGCAGCTGCTAGGTAGCCTTAGTATACGATCCATCACCGAAAATCCCAAAGCCAAATGCACATTTTGTAGGGATAATCACTATTGGCGCCGGTTGTACCGCTTAAGTAGTACAAGTATTTCCTAACTTTCCTTTTTCTTTCCACTTTATGCACAGCACCACTTTGGGGTTTCGGTAGAGATGCGGAGCTCCATTACCATCATCTCGTGGTATCGTGGCGGCCGGCCTCCTGGCACCCGAGGAAATTACCTAAAGTATGATACCCAAAGAATAGGTGCATTACCAAAAGCCACAGTGTGAATGATATGATAGGAGAAGGGAATTTTAAACGACCGAAAAAAAATCTAAAACAATATAGCGCTCTTTAAAACAATATCCCCGTTTTTCCTATCTAAAAGCTCCCAACTCTGGCATTTTGTAAATGAACGCCGAGATTTTGCAATACCTAAAAGCTCGGAGGAACCCTAACAGAAACAGCACTCGAGTAAAGAATTTTGACTATTTCCGTCATCAGGAGGGGAACCAAGAGTGGCACTTTGGTCACGCTCGCCAACATTTGGCCGGTCGAAGCAGGTGTCGCCTCACTCTCCCTCTACTGTCCCATATCCCTATTATATTAACTATCACAGTGCAGATTTCTAACCTAGTTCCAAAAAATAGGTTCCCAATAGGGTCTAGCGCCGGTACCCGATGACTGAGTATAAAATGTCTGGTCATTTATCGCTACTTAAAATATTTAACAGTTGCTATCTTGTAGCAGGAGACAGAGAGAACGCACTAGAAAGCAGCTTAAAGATTTCTAAGGCTTCAGGGGACAACTGGGGGTCGGGTGAGGCCAATGCACTGTACAGTACACTCTCCCCCGCGATAGACTGCCCCCGCCTCCGAGGGAAACACTCAGAATAACAAAATCCCTCCTATCCACTGGTATCGATCCCCAAATATTTTAGCATGCAGCTATGTCCAAGGCCTGGAAGGAGTTGACATGGACTGAACATCCGTCTCGATCCACCTTCTCTATGGTATGTTACGTGCGACTGCACCCACACAACAGGCAGCATACTTACTCGGAATGTCGTGACATTCGCAAAGCGGACTGCTGCTGCATACAACCAAAAATTGGCTGGAGCCTTACAACTTTGGTGGTATGCAATATCAGTCCATTTCACAATCACTGCGGCATTGGTTCAGCATCCAGAACCCATTTTCCGAAATTTCCCTGCTGAGGAAACTAGGGTGGATGTTGTGGGTGCGTTACCCCTCAGGGATCTTGCTCTGATTTAATCCTTCTTCCTTTTCCATACTTTCCTCCTACCCTATCTAGCGAAGCTATCATATACTCGAATACTGTGCATATAATAAAGTGGGCTCTTGGAATGCATTGCTCAGCCCCCGGCTGTGGCTTTCCTTAAAGCGTGAGACTTACAGCTTGTGCCCCATCTACCATATTTACAGTTAGGTGACATATCTAATCGTTGGTCATGCACTTTACACCAAAAACGTATTGCTTTTGCAAGTTTTTGGCACAGACAGAGGTTATTCCATTACACCGATCTCCCGCCCAGTGGAGCACTTGGCGGCCGCGAGAAATGCATCAAGATCGGAGAAATATAGGCGGGGCTTAGAGCACGGCCGGGTTTCTGAAACATGAAATCTTGGACAATATACACTGCCCGGGCCGCCATTATAGAATCCAGACCTTCAAACCGAATTTCAAAGCTCCCTTGCACAAGTGATTCCATATCACCAGGCCTGATAGCACAAGCCCGCAGAAATGACCATACCGTACATGCTCCGAAATTTCGCAATACCGCCCATTCTGGAGACTAGAAATGATATAACCAGTAGAGAACGACCCCTGGGCGCCTCCATAAAGCCACGCCACCCGAAAGATGCGGCTGTGGTTGAATATTCTCGAAAATCATAGCCTCTCATCAGTTATTAGTTTACTACGAGCGCCAGGCACCGTGCCGGACGTCCCCGGACACAAACCGCTACACGCCCGGAGCTAAGCCACGGGGACAAAAAAGCCCAACGAAAAAAATTAAAAAATAACAGTAAAAAAACAAAGCCCATCATAAAACTCTGCGTATTTCTTTTATGTAAAGGATATGAGAGAACCCTCTCATGTTACACTTGTAGAGACCAGGAAACCGCACCGGTGAGCCAACAACCACCGACCCGCCACTGTGCCTGCTCGGTGTTCGTGTAACCCGGAAACACAGAGGGCCAACTGGCGGGAGCGCATACTGGTACTAGTAGTGCTCACTTAAAGTAAGGGAGTTGTAGTCTTTCTACTAGTTTAGTAGTAGCACTTAGCTCGTCCAAAATTAGCATTGTTTAATACCTTCTCAATAGGGATTGGTGAGAAGTTAGTTGAGGAGGAAACAGTAGGTTGTAGCAGGTGGCAGTAGGGTGTTAACTGAGCTGATGGCATTGCGTGATTCACAGCGTTCTCCTATAAAGCCAGACATAACTTCAAATACGTGTATAGGAAGCGAGTGTTGTGTAGTTTCATCCTCGTGAGTCTCAAGGCTCCGATTTTAGAGCACGGGCGGTATCGCGATAATCCCCCCCTAGTGTTGTATCATTCCGCAGGAAATTGTTTTTCAAGCGCCCGGAAATAGAAGAGATGGAGCCCGGGCAATCAACGATGAGATACCCGTATGCCAAACCTACCGGCAACAAATATACCCCCACGGCCCCATGAGCACCCCAGCCCCCCCTCCCCCAACATACACAGCCTTAGCCCCTAGGCGCACTCCCGCCTGTTGCCGATGCTCGCTTTCGTCTGGGGAATATTCTCGGTGAGCCTCTTGTCTGAGTTCCCGAGCGTGGTCGAGTTTATAGCCACTTTTATGTCTCTATTGGAGGGGGTATTGGCGGGGTTCTTGTAGCTGCGAGAGAGGTTGGGTTGCGGCATCGGTTCCGTGGATAAACGATTGGTATGATAGGACTCTGTCGTACTTGGTTTGCCCAGGGCCCTGCGGTAGGCTGTTTGGCTAGATAACAATGGATAGGGGGATGTCTGGCACCAAACACGGTTGTTGAGGTTATTCAGGGAGGTGTAATCACTTCTCAATGTCAGTTAACCTAACTCACGATCACACCCCACAACTTTACTCCAATATCCGCTGGACCGAGAAGAAATTACCCTGGGGGCGGTCCCGTGCAAGGTGAAGACAACTAACAAAAACGATAACAAAACCCCACCGGTCCAGCCAAGTCAGCTATGCGCCATTCCACAAACCTAAACAACCCCAAACCACCCGCCCACTATCCCCTGGGTCCGCAGGACAGCGGAGATCTCTTGCCGCTGTTGTTTATTTCCGGGAAATGGATGGCTGATGAGAGCTTAGCCCTGCTTCAGCATTCCGTAGCGATTATCGGTGGAAGTGGATTAGATATCCAGCACTAGTTCCGTCTGAAGTCTGTGTCTGCTCGTGTGCGGAATTTTGGTTATTAGCAAAAGCTGTCTTATTAGCTTCTATTCTGGGCACCGACGGGGGCAGCACGAGGTTTTCGGCATCCTGCGACTCCAAGAGATAACGATAGCTACTTACACAGCACCATGTTAGCAAGCCTGTGGGAATAACTCCTCAGAAAAACCATCACACCCCCCCCCCCCCCCAACAGCGAGCGCTAACTCCACCTCCTACACGGCACCCAATGAGGGCAAGTAGGCCATACTAGCGACTTAGCTCAACATCCTACGGATTCAGTGCGCCAGGATCTTACCCAACAAATATCAGCCCTATGCCCGAGCGGTAGTGAAAAGTCGAAGTCACCGGGGCGGGGCTAGTAATGCGGACGACCCTGTGCAAGAAAGGCATGGGAGGGGAATAAGTCAAGCGCCGTCGCTGATCCTCTCGCGTTAGTGTACCGTCGCTTGCCTGCAAGCAAGCCCAAAGGCCGACACAGGGTTAGCTTGCTTTTATCCGTGCCATCGTTGATGAATCGTCTGTGGTAAAGAAAGAGGTAAATAGCTGTTGCCATGCCAACGAGGGGGGGTGAGATGAAGGTGGACCATAGCAACGGCAGAGCCTCAAGAGACGCTCTAGGGGAGATTAGCCGAGGACTTGGTTACCCGGATAAATAGCGCCTGCCTTACTTGTACTTTACCGTAGACCTGCATTTCTCCGGGGCTGTAACTTAAGGACGGAGATTTATACAACTTTCCGTGAGACCCCTCCCAGGTTCAGCGGCTACTCACCACTTCCATACTCGAGTACCGGTACCGGTATTTCTCATAGGTTTCTGGTGTTTGTAAACAGGACTACCGGCACTATTACATACCCGTACACAAAAATCTCGGGCCCGGGCGGTTTTTTGCCATGAAGGTTACCAAAATGCCGATGTGACGCAAGACGGCAGCCGTGGTATGAAACTGCCAAAAAAAATCGGGTGAGGCTCGGTTAATTAAGCTTAATACTAACGCCGGGTTGAGGTCGCCTATGATACCTGAGACAATGATAAATTTAGTAACGATCACCTCCACCATCAGATATAATACGAACTAAGCTGCCCGACTATCACTGATAACTACACTCAGTGCACCACACCCATTCAACTGCATATCACACGCGCGTAGGGTTTTCATGCCCGCCTGCTTTGCCACGGTACTCGATCATCTGGCCACCGGTTCATACCATATCATCTGTCAAATCGGCTATCTGCGTGCAGGGCTCAGATCTCCCAGCCCGGATAGGCAGTCTCTAATAATTCCTAGCTTAGCGCGGGAGAGAAAAGGGATAGGAAGATCATGCTAATCTCTCTTTGACCGCTCAACTGGTGCCCACGGGATCTCCCCTGCCTCTTTTCTTCGGGAATAGACGTTTCTGGTACTTTTTTGTCTTGGAGTGGAGTCTAGCCCGGAACCCTACACCGGGATACTCGATTTCACGAGATAATGGGGGAGCCCAAGCAGAGCACTAAAGGGTGGAGCAGTGGGGGCGCAACCACAATAGGCTCTGAGGACAACGGGGCGTGGAAGGATGGCGAACTAGACGATAGATGAAGATGCTAGCTAAGTATACCGGCAGACCAGGAGAGATATATCTCCGCTAGCTAACAACTCCTTAAACCAAATGGAACATAACGATCTTTGAGGAAGCACGTTCCCTAGAAAACACAATCATCACCCATGATCTTCCATGACTCTAAGCTATCCAAAGCAATCCAAGCCACTAAAGCAAGTGTCCCATGCCTCCCACCGCCGGGCGTGAAAGCTGAACCACACAGAACCACATACTCAATGCTGACTGCCGCAGAATATCTAACATTAGGCCGGGTTCCTACCAAGGTCTTATCGCAGTAGTGCGCATTAGCTCTGCCTCATGGAATCATAGCAAAAGAAATCCCCAGAGCTAACGTCATCGACATTTAAGTATAATTGGCGCGACAGTTATGTTGTCCGCCTACGCGACATCGCTTGGCAAAGGTATCTTGGATCACCGACAGCGAACACGACTCGAGCCTTGTTACGAGAGCCGTCTGAGGGACTTGCGTTTAGGGGAGGAACACAAATCCTCTCCTGACTGCTAATCTCCCCACCGCAGGCATGTCAGAGTTTTCACTACTTACAGGCATTCCCGGCTTCCCAACTAACAAATATCCTCAAAAACAACCCACGGTTCCCGATCCTTCCCCAATATCGCCCCGTGGATTCCCGCTAACGCGCGGCCTGTAACCACCGCTTGTCTTCTCTGTCTTCTCGGCCTCCAGGTTCACCCTACCCCCCTTCCTTCCTCTTTCTAGAAGACCCCCGAGCTGCTGCCAAGTTGCTTGGAGTATCACCAAGAGCCGAGCGGCCGTTGCTGATTTCTCACATTACGGCTGGTATGGCACATATAATTTGTCAGGCGCCCTTTTTGTGAGAGTATTCTACCAAATTGTCTCTTATAGATCATGATGTGGTCGCTCTGCTATAGATATCGAGCATAATACAGTTCCGTGGAGATCAAATTCCGAAGATGCTAGTACAGGAGTGACAGAAACGCAACCAGCCACCAACATCCGACTACCCCAAATCCCAAAATTCCTAAACAGATATCGCACCTCCTACCTAAATAAATCTTAACGAAAGCAGTACTGGGTGTGCAAAAAAAACCGGCTGGGCCTCGAAACCAGGCAAACCTTCCGGGTAAGCGAGCGGCCTCCGGATAGTAGTGCGCTAGCGACATCTAACCTATTAGCAAAGGAGTATGAAACTTCAGTATCTGCAAACAGAGACAAGGCGTAATACACACCGGTCACTAGACTAACTGATCGTTACAAGAAGGTCAAGTCCTCTGTAGGTAACATTTGCAAAACTGACATATCCGGAATGCAAAACTACCGAGGGGTCAATGATAATATGAAAGGATAATGATGACGATAAGCTAGGATGACTCACTTGCTATAAGGAAGTTTAATAGGTATCTCGCGCTGGTAGAGTCAGTAGAGACCAAATCATATCACTTACTTCCTATGTTTCCAAAAGGGTTGTGGGGAACACTAAGCGTTAGTGAGAGAAGGGGAGCTGGGAACTAGCGATTAACTGACGAGCTATAACGCAATACGAATGGAGGATTAGCTATAACTCGCAGGAAAGGGGGTAGAGGTTTATATACAAACTAAGAAGCGCAAGTGGGAATTAGTTAGTTTTAGAGTGAGAGGAGATACTTGGGTTCTCAAGTTTCACCTCCTATTAGAGAATCGAAGCGGAGAGTTAGTCCGGAATCGGCGGTAACGAGGGCGTTAACAGTTGCTGGTTACATACAATCTGTAAAGGCGGGAGAGATGTCAGGGAACATAAACAAAAAACAGGCTTAGTAGTGCATGCCCGCTCACCACCTGAATTAACCATGGAGGCAGGTATCAGCAATTTTCTAGCCTCTGAGACCCCCCTATCTTGTTAACCTACCCGCTACAACACCAAGTAAACTAGAGGTCAACAGTCGCCTCGCCCCAGAACTGTGGTTGATCCCTTTCACTTACATACTGCAGAACCCAGCAAGCAAGAGGTCAGCAATTATGTCGCCCCGGAACCGCGGTTAGCCCTGTTTACCCACCAACTACAACATGCAGCGGGACAGGTCAGCAATTGCATCGCCCTGCGGCAGTGGTTGATCCTGTTCACTTACTCGCTATAGGCCTCGGTTGGCCACAGGTCAGTAATTTCCTAGCCTCGAAGCCATAGTCAGCCCTATTCACTTACGTGCTATGAGACTCAACACGCGAGGTCAGCAATTGCCTCGCCCCAGAACCGTAGTCGGTCTTATTCACGTACATCCTAGAACTCTCATTGAGCCAGGGGTTAGCAATTACTTCGCCGGAGATTCGTAGTTGTTCAGGTTTACCTACCTCCTACAAGACCCGGGGAGACAGGTCAGCAATTCCCTCATATCACAACCACGGTTGGTCCTTTATACTTACCGGCTACACCACTCGGCAAATCCGGGGTCAGAAATTGTCTTATCTCACGAATTGATCATCTACACTCACCCACTGCAACACAGCGGGCCAGGTCAGAAATTCAATCACCCTAGAGCTGATGTTGGCCCTTTTCACTTACTTCCTTCAACACTCAGCGAGCCAAAGGTCAGTAGCCGTCTCGCCCTAGGACTGGGGAGATCTTTTCACTAACCCACTACCAGACCAAGAAAGCCAGAAGTTAGCAGCTGCCCGTCCAAGTCCAGGAACGGTGGTTGATCCTGATCACTCACAGACTGCAAAATTTCGCATGCGGGAGGTTAGCAATTTTCGTGCCCGAGAACGGTGGCTGATGCCGTTAACTCACAACCTATCGCACCCGCCGAGCCACACGTCAGAAACTGTCATGCCTTGGCTGATCCTGGTCACTTACTCTCTACAATTCTCAATTGGTCAGCGGTCAACAATTTTCCCGCCTCAGAATCGGGGTTGATGATGCTCACGTACCGG